TATATATATATATATATATATATATATATATATATATATATATATATATATATATATATATATATATATATATATATATATATATATATATATATATATATATATATATATATATATATATATATATATATATATATATATATATATATATATATATATATATATATATATAGTATACAGTAAGACCGATATATTGTCAGAGGCTAACCTGGTGTTTAGAATTGAACCCCGATCTTAGCTGTGGGAAAGTCACATGTGTCGGTTTTTGTAGATAGCTGCGCACACGGTTGTGATTGTTCCGATGGATTGATGTATATAACATGCTGTATCAATGCACGAATGGATGTTGGGTAAATATGGTGTATACATCAACGAGAGTATTAGCATCAACTATCGTTAAATGGTAAGATAGACATCTGTTATTCCGTAGGACTTGAGATTAGTTAATACTGTCACGAGACAGGTAGGTCTCTATTTTCTATTTTCATATAGATAGTTGAATTGCAATAATTAAAACATGTGAACTTGATACTTTTAAGTATTCGAAGTCTTTGAATTGAGGTATTTGAGACAGGCGTATTTGGCCTTTGAAGTATTTGAAGTATTTGAATTGAAGTATCATTCTCAATACATTGTCGACATATTCTTACCCAAGGTTGCGTCCGTCTCTACTTTGCGTTGAATATATGAATATATCTGCTTCAATTAATGTGGTGGTGGTCATCACGTTCTTTTCGTCATACTTGCTGATGTATTGGCATTCAATAATTTACGACAGACATGCCTGTCGTTATCTCCGTGTTGAATAGTCTCAGTGGGTGGGCTGGATGTGCGGCAGGATTTGCAACAATCAATCAGTCGGCCACTATAGGGGCCGCTTCGTCGGGGGATGTACTTATTATTGCAGGTGAGAAAATAACGATGTGCTTATTATTGTAGGCGAGAGAATAGCGTGTAGTGTCTGTTATTGTTGTCATATAGCAACTCGCAGTAGGACATAGTTGGGACATTTATTGCAAATATTCGGTTGGAAGATTGCCTATCATCGCAGGTGATATGATTGTGCCATGTCTATCTCATGCTTTCCCCCTACTGGCATCTTGTAGACGGCATGTGCATGTCATTTTTCCTTATTACGGTGTAGCGAAATGCGAACGAGTGGTATATGTGTTCGTGTGTTCTGTTCCTTTGCATACATTTCTTCTCGGGTGTTCTTTCCGTTCTCGTTGCCATACGCTACACCAAAGCCCTGAGGTTTTAGGGTTTAGTATTGTGTATATTCCCATATTCGCGTACGACTAAACAGATTTCTAGGTAGCTCCGGTGCATTGGTGTGTGTGGTTCTGGAAAGGTATGAGCCAGTTAATAGTTCCCCATTACACGTTGCATACTGGTAAACTTGATTTTCCCTTTCTGGTTTATTGATAACCTTAATGTTTCCCTTTCTTGTTTATTGATAATCTTAACGTTTCCTTTTCTGGTTTATTGATAACCTTAATGTTTCTCATTTTGGGTTATTGTTCACAATATTACTCATTTTAGGTTATTGATAACCTTCATGTTTCTCATTCTGGGTTATTGATAACCTTGATGTATCCCATTCCGGGTTGTCTTGTATACTCTCCTTGATAACTCTTGCGAACACAACCACTCACTCTGATATCCATTCCACTATTGTGTATAGGGGCTACTGTGGGGGCGAGTGGTGCCATTCTGTCGTATGTGATGTGCAGGGCAATGAACCGCAGCCTGAAAAACGTATTGATTGGCGGTTTTGGCTCAGGTAAATTTCGTTCAGGTTATTAACGTTTTTACTCTAGGGTTTGCTCTCTTGTGCGGCGTGTCAAACTTTCCGGAGGCTATAGTACTATGTACTATACAGAACCCAAGTATCGAAGTGTGCAGACAGAACGTATTGATTGGCGAGGTCTGGCTGTAGTATGCGTCGTGTCTCATAGTATTGTGTAGTGTTTGTAGTTAACAGGTCATTCTGGTAATGGTATTGGTTTGCCTAGCGGCTCTCCTTGCCATATCAATTCGAAGGATGTACTACTTCAGACTGTTGGGGTTTTGCCGCACAAACTCGAACCGGAACTGAGAGATATATTAAAGGAACATCTTTTTGTCCCAATGTCCTCATTATCTTGGGGTTTCGGGCGTCGTGCATACACAACATTCCTAGGACCTAGTCCAGCATGAACTAGTTGACTGATAATTGTGTGCGAAAACACACTACCCCTGGCAATGCAGATACTAGTCTCAAACAGGACAAACGCACGATGACTGAGTGGAATCGTGGAGCTAGCTGCTACAATACAGCTAGCTGTTTCCGTTCATATTCTTGTCTGTTATTACTCGTAGCCGTTTTCATAACTACACGGTAATCACAAGCACTTGTCTGCCTCTCTATACCAATAACACACAGGATCAAAAAAAAAGAAAGCGGTGGTTGATGACGGTATTAAACTCGAGGCGAAGGAGATCACTCCTTCTGACACGGCCGAGGCTTTGGTGGATGCCAAGAGTATGTACAGGCTGATAACTCGCATATATTTACCCCCGTAGGCTATCTAATAGGGCCTGTGTATTAACCACTCTACGCAATTAAGGTCTATTTATTATCTCTTCTACGCTAGCTATTAAGGCCTATGTATTAACCACTCTACGAAATTAGGGTCTATTAAGACCTATATATTAACCGCACTGAAAAATTAACCTACTGTGAAAAATTGAGGTCTATTTATTAATCCCTCTCAGCTATTTATCAACCTTAATAATCACTCGAAGTAATTAAGGTCTATTTATTATCCTTTTTTAGCTATTTATTAACCTTAATAATCACTAAGCAATTATTCTCTATTAATTAACCCCTCTCAGCTATTGATTAACCTTAATAATCACTCTAAGCAATTGAAGTCTCTTTCTTAATCTCTGCAAGCTATTTATCAAGGCTTAGGTAATAGCCACTCTTTGAAGTTATGATCTTTTTATTATCCTCTCTAAGGTATGTATTACCGCCTGTGTATTCAGGCCTTTAAGCAGTCAAGGTTTATCTACTAAACCTTCTAAGCTATTAAGTTAGGCCTATTTATTAACCCCTCTCAGCTATTTATCAAGGCCTGTGTATTAACCACTTTAACCAATCAAGGTCTATCTATTAAACCCTGTAAGCCATTTATTTAGTCCTATTTATTAACCCCTTTAAGCTTTTTTTTAAGGTCTGTGTATTAACCACTCTAAGCTGTTTCTTGTTAAGACCTATATATTACGTGCTTTTAGCGTAGCAAACGGACAAAATAGTAGTGTACCATTGAGGTCATTTCAATACCAATGGTTAACGTTCAAGTGTTGAGGGTGTACGTATTTGCTGCGTAGAGTGTGCGTCTTCTTTTATTCTTTTTGCCGTTCTCAGTTACGTTCTATGCCATAGAGAGTATCGGAGAGTCAATACTCGCGTTCGAATCACTAATAAGTTCAGTGTAATGTCAGCGTGTGTTTGTTGTGTTGTTTATTCAATTCTTTTTCCTTTACTTATTGAAGGTTACTCTATTCTTTCAATACTTATTAGAGGTTACTCTATTTTTCCTATACTTATTAGAGATTAATATCACTTTGACATGTACAAAGGGCCACCTTGCACCTCGCGTCACAAAAAAAGGACACCCCAAGACAAATCTACCATGACAAAAATGCCCTAACCCAGAATGTCAATGTTCGGCAAAAAAACTGTAGAGTTTTTTGTGTGGTGGTGAAATTCACATGCGCTATAGCGAGTGCTGTCCTCAGCTCAACCACACACTCATATCTGCAACTGTCCAAGAAAATAGGTGCAAGTATTTAAATATCTGCACCTGTCCAAGGAAATAGGTGCAAGCATTTATATATCTGCACCTGTCCAAGAAAATAGGTGCAAGTATTTAGAAATCTGTATCTGTCCAAGAAAATAGGTGCAAGAATTTAAATATCTGCAACTGTCCAAGACAATAGGTGCAAGTATTTAAATATCTGCTCCTGTCCAAGAAAAATGCAAGTATTTAGATATCTGCACCTGTCCAAGGATATAGGTGCAAGTATTCCGAAATCTGTATCTGTCCAAGGGAATAGGTGCAAGTATTTAGATATCTGCACCTGCCCAAGAAAAATAGGTGCCAGTATTAAGATATCTTCACTTGTCCAAGAAAATAGGTGCCAGTATTTAGATATCTGCACTTGTCCGAGAGAATAGGTGCAAGCATTTAGGATCGGGATCCGTAGCCCACAGGGGTAGGGGTGGGGGTGACCCTTGTAAATAGCCAGTCCAACGTCAATTGTATGATGCCATTGTCTAACCTTAGTTCCGCAGGTATGAGCATAGTGCCAAGCGCACTATTACTAATCATATCCAAATGGCATCTCACCATGCATATTCCCACAGATGTGATTATAGTTCCAGACCAAAACCCATTCTAAACTAAATCATGACGGCGTCGTAAATCCTTATTCCCACAGCTGTGATTATAGTTCCAGACCTACATTCATTCTAAACCAAATCATAATGGCGTCATAAACTCTTGTTCTCACAGGTGTGATTACAGTTCCAGAACTACGTCCGTTCTAAAATAAAACCATGATGGCGTCATCAACCCTTATTCCCACAGGAGTGTTAATAGTTCCAGACCAACATTCATTCTAAACAAAATCATGATGGCGTCATCAACCCTTATTCCCACAGGTGTGATAATAGTTCCAGACTAACATTCATTCTAAACCAAATCATGATGGCGTCATAAACCCTTATTCCCACAGGTGTGATAATAGTGCCGGGGTATGGCATGGCTGTGTCTCAGGCACAGTACATGGTCTCCGAGCTGACCAAAGTACTACGCGACAATGGCACGCGCGTGCGATTTGGCATCCATCCAGGTTTGTAATGCTTTACATGAGAGTGTTGTGATGGAATAAGCACGTGTATCTGTGTGATTTACATCCATCCATTTATGTCATGCCGTCCACACGAGTGTTGTGAGGAAATAAGCATGTGGTTCATACCAAAGAAACCCCTACGAGCGTGCACGGGTGTGTGGCAGTTGAACCTGTTTTTAGGAAGTAGACTCACAAGCACACAACTGCTAAGCTGTGACTGTGACAACGGTCCTCAAATGTTGCTGGACAGTTTCGGCTGTCCTGAATTTGGGTTGGTTGTGTATATGAAATTAGGCTCGATTACGTAGTACCTGGTAAATATGAACTTCTGCCTAAACTTAATACGCGTCATGCGGGTGTGTTAGGGGTCAATTGCACCTGTTTTTATATAACCCTATTTATAAAATACAGGGGTAAGTAACGCGTAGACTCGTGGAGCTCAATTTATCCTACGACATCATACACCAAACACATGATCGTAGTTGAAACGTGCACCGTACACATAAAGTGATTGAAATGTTTATTCGTACACATGTTTTTAATATAAATGTACACCATAGGCCATACATGTTTATACAACTTAGCTCTCCAGAATCTTTGTAACTTCTAATTTGCTGAACTATAATCCGCCTTTTTGGGTCACTTTCACTATATATAAATAAATATATGTA